GACATATTCATTGCATACTTGCTATCAAATTTCGTTTTCCGGTTAGTATTTCGAATTTTGAGATCTCAAGTTCAAGATGGGTTCACAATCATTTACCGCCACTATCGATTAGTATGATCAAGCATCATTAATTATTGTTATAGTGCTCGTCACAAATCACTGCCACTTACATACATGACAATTCAGGACTTATCATGCTTTTTGCGAAGTGGACATTTTTATGGAGCGGAGGAAATCCGTGCTATATGGGCTGTGGATGCTGCGGATTGCCGAATGGCTTGAAGATGATATTGTACCCGGAAAGTGGGTAGAGTTTTGACGTCGAACGATCTCATTGAAAAAGTAACGTTGCGACTTTGACCTGAAGATATGTTGAGGGATCTGATTCGGATTGAACTTGAGAATGCGATAAGGGATAAGCGGGCTTGTGCGGAAATATGGGGTCTCATTTCACGCCTAATGGCGCTAGGCTATGTTTCAAACTTCTTTTGGAACACTTGTTATCAATTCGATGTCAAGTACTTGAGGAAGTTTTCTTTTTTCTGGTCACTCAAGTTAATTTAAAAAAAACAGATCAGAATCAGTGCTATATCGTTTAATCATATTTATAATGTACTCTCTGAAGCGAGGCTATCTTTTAGAGTCGAGAACAAATTCGAGTTCCCTCTTGACGGCCTCCTCCGATTGCTTCTTCGAGATCAAGCTGTGAAGCATCACAAACAAATCTCCATTGTACGTTTTACTCTACCATTTTCGACTTCCGAGAGGAATCCGTTACCTTAACTGAGTTACTCAGTTGTTTTTTGAAAACTTTGAAATTTGTTAGCCTTCTGTTGTTATGCGAAATGTAGAAACCTGTTCGTTATTCAAAAGCCAATGTCATGAATCGCCTTCGATTCCAGTTTATGGTAGTCTGCCGTTTAGTGGCAGCAAAGGAAAAAAAAGAAAGACATTTTTCGCTTTATCAGTCACGAGGGTTTTTCGTTGAAAGGGTTTTGTTAGAAGTGATTCAAGTCAAAAGGTCTTTGAAAATGTGATGATCGAGTCAGCAATGGAAAGGTCGGTCTGACCTCGAACCGTGATTCAGGCTAGGCCAACGTCGGTAGAAAAAAGGTGGGAGTACATACCAGACTCTTGATTATTTGCGAGTGGAAAAAGCTGTCGAGGGACTAAAAACCTATTCGAAGAGTTTAGAAGACTTCAAAAGGGCCACCATGCTTTTTCAGCCACACCACTGATCACTTTTTTTAGCCACCTTTTACTCTACTACTGCTTCACTGACAGCGAAATTCTCGGTCATTCTAAGAGATTCTGTCGATGAGTAAAAGGTAACTGGAACGAACTAAACTCCATCCGTTTGACCCTTTCGACCGACAATAGACCTCTAAAATCGTTGATATATGAGTGGTAGTTCTTCCTTTCTCTCGTAGAGTCCAATGTTCTTAAGAGTGATAAACTACACCAATGTAAGCAATACAATAATGATTGTCTGCTGTCAGATAGGCAAATGATTATATCAAGGGATCTGTTCATGAGAGTGAGTACACAGAGCTGCTGGTAGGAGTTGATCGTGAATCTATGCTTTTCGAACCCTTTTCTCAACCGCCATACTACCGGTACCTCATCTTGATGGACAGCCAGGTATGAACGTCGGCATAACCTGGATATTTCTTGAACCCGAGCTGTAATCCTCAAATCGGAAAGGTCCACTCAGGGGAACTATTTGGTTCTAGTCGGCCCGCCAGCTAAATTTGGCGATTTCAGTTGGATTGAGTCGTGTTAGTTTTTTTTTGTCGCAACCGCGCTAATGTACCACTTTCTTACTTTGAACTTTGGAGCGGATTTTTAAACTCTCTCAAAGGTTACTGCAAAGAATGAAACTTTGACGAGTTCTCCTCGTAAAGTGCCTGCATAATTCGATTGTTAAGTCATCACTAATTGTAAATTTGTTTACTGGTTGTTTAAGTATTTTTTCGAATATTACTGGATTAACCGGAGTTAAATATTGCCAACATACTTATTTCAGAGCTCCTCTTCAACTTTCAATCTGCCATGAACACTGTTCACCATGTGGCTACCACACGTACATTTTTTCCACACACATGAAAGCTCTACATAGCAAATGACTGGACCCTATACGAGTATTCATCGAGGTCTCAAGTAGTCGTCGCCCAAATTCGCCTGATTGAAATATTGCCGACTGGTATTCTGCTGGTTCCGGCATCGTTTGTGGACAACCCTTGTGGAGTGCAGTCTACCTCGTTAATGGTGTGTCTCACCAACCAGCTACTATTGGCCCAGATGGGGAACCCATAGGCGTGCGAACGCGGCGCGGTTGTAGGGCGGGTATGCAGCGCCTTCACTGTTCTGCTCTAATCAATATATATAATAAATAAAATGGAATCTTCCCAGCTGATATTTTGATATTTTCGCTGGGTTACATGGGCAGACTAGCAGGATGGCGCAGGCCTTGGAATAATTCCGACACTTTGACGTCCTATTGCCACAATGACGTTATTCCGTACGCGTCGCTTACGCACGCCGATGAGCCACCATTATGGTCACTTATTCGCCTAAGAACGAACCGGTGAGACAGACCAGTGCCAACAGTCCTTTATCATGCAAACCGGTTTGATGCTTGCTTTTATTGACTATCTCTGGTATTTCTAACTGCTCCCGGTTTTCTGTTCTTTTCCCTCACCTTCAAAGATTGACTTCTCTGTAGAAGATAGTTGATACCACAAAAGCTGTAAAGTATTACTATGTTGTAGATAACATTCAATGATTTTGTATCAGGCAGTTAAACTGTGATATTTTAATTACGAGTGTTCATCATTGAATACGAACATGTGAAAATGATGATGTGAAATAAATCTTAATTGAAGTGTTGTCATGTTGTTTTTCAAGCAGTTGTTCGAACTGTTTGGATTTCTTGATTGATAGCTCTCAGAAGCGGATATGAGCCATTACCACATGATCCATAGACGTCATCTGATCCTGAAAAGGCACTTTTCGACGACGGCTATTATTACTGAGAAATACAGGAGAGTACGCGCAAATAGGGGATAATGCGAGGGCGCATGTCGCCTTTGGGTTGCGCCATCGCATTTGACCTCTATCCAAATTGTTGTGACGATTTAGTGTGTACGCAGTTTATACAAGGCCAGCCGATGTACAAGTTAATACTCTCAGCCTCCCGAAGCGATCTGGTACCATTCAATCGGCTCCGTAGAAACGGAAAACTTCGCTGGCCAAAGTGGGTGGGGGTCAGGGATTCGATTGTAGGACCATGTGTTTGATTGTGGACCACTTGACAGTACGCCAACTTGTCCTTACAATGGGCAATACTATGGGTGAATACAAAACTAAGTACCATACTACTAGATAAAGAGATTATATTCATAGGAATGATGAAAGGGGATCGGATAGGATTGTCTCAAAATTGGTATTCTGGACCGTTCAGGCCCTATTCCCACCGAAGCCTCATCTTTCCAGAACCAGACCGGTGCCATCCACTGTAACCACGCCATGCCATGTGTTCATGTCAAAAATCATTCAGAGAGGGAGTTAAAATTATAAAAGTTCCTACCAATATGGTAGACCATCACCCCGGCAATGTTCAGT